AGAGATGAATCACAACTGGTATAAATATAAGTATACATAGTTTTATGAAACAACATAAACCTGCTTTAACGTCGTTGTGTTATTATGCTAACGATGGGTGTTACATAAAGCGATTTGGATGCTAAGCCTTTCATTAGTTCCAGTTAACAGTGCGTTAAGTAATAATACAGAAAAACATTGTTCTTTCATGGCTTGCTTGAGGTCAGTCATACATAGATTTAATATGAGTTAGTACAGTATGCCAACTATTCGTATGTAGGTAATTATAGCTTTGCATATTTCTAAGTTGTTGGGATTGATAAGATATTAACATTTACATGATTACTCATTATGTTTGTAGACTGCACCTGTGTCGCTGCAGATGACATATGAGGCAGGCACCCTAAATATGAACACTAAGTACTAGAAGATGTTACCCTATGACACTTCGAATTACTTATGTCATGTACTGACACGACAACTACAATAATATACTAAGGCGCTGTCTCAAACTGATGTCCGGACAAGACAGTTACTGTAATAAAAGGAAAATAAATTCTATACGATGTCGTAACAGAAAATGTATCTAGTATAAAGGTAGTTCGGACAGTCTGTCACGCTATCAAACAATTGAGTTTCACCTAGTGGCCACATCGGCCCGTAATAGTTCCTACACATGTCAGTTATCTTTAGCCAGTTGAGAATTTATTTCACACTTCCTGCTCCAAGCAATTTCTGTGGTAATTACAATATCTAACATCTACCCACGTTGATATCACTCATACATGATTAAGTTTACTTTGATTTATGCGGTAAATACTTAATATTATTATTTTATATCTACAATAAGTTTTGAAATTAATAGGTTAGGCCTTGGCTAGGTCAGATCTATGTGCGTTTATATGCATTATGTTTATATGTAAATTGTGTACTCATTTATTCTTGGTACTTATTTCTGTGTAGGTGTACACGAGTTTTTGTTTGTGACATTCGTTTACATAAGTAGCAAAAACGTTGGCATAATTAGTTGTCGATGTTGTTACCTTCGTATAATTAGTTGTCGATGCGATGTGTTTGCTCGCGAGGATGACAAAGATATAAATAACAGGTCTATAGTCAGGAGCACCACAATAACAAGATCACGTACAGCGCGGACGCTCGCTACTGTGATGCTTTCACCAGATATCTTTTATGGCAATAAAAGATTTATATAGAGCATTAACATAAATTTAACAGATTTGAAATACATTTAATGATACTAAAAACCTTCCACATTATTAAATCTTATGATTTATTTTACTTAAAAGGTATTTTAATCTGAAAGACATTCAAATGTGTAGTATATACTTTGAGTACAGTAAAAGATGTACATATATCTATTATTACAAAGGTAAGAGCACGTGAAAGCAACTGAAAATACAACATACTGTTATCTATAAGATGGATTTCTTTGAGGATTACACTACTAAAATAATACTTTCAAGCGAACGATTTGTAAGAAATTATAATATTATGAAAGCCGATAAAACACGAATAAAGCTTAAACAAATCCTTAAAATACGAGATGGTTTTACTGTAAATTTTTTCTCAGATGTATTAAGTTTACGACGAAGAAAATAAATTCATTTTGAGATAGCGCGGAGGAGCTGTAGGCCCTCATTATAACCGAACTGAGATAGATGAGAGCTGGTCACAAATGAGGTTAGCTCGCAATGAAAGTAATGAGTTATTTACTATCCATTTTAGGTTGACGTACGAAAACTATAATTAATAATTTTTATTTAGACAGGCTGTGTGCACAAGAACCGGGTCTTGTGCTGAATACTTGTACAAATATAATAATGGTAAGGAGTGCGAGTACCGCTTGCTCGTATAGCTGGTGAATAGCGGTACTAGATCGTGCCGGTACCTACATAAGACCATAATTAGGTGTCAGTCGGCCATCCGACAAATCGTTCATCTCATACAGAAAGCTAACTGTACTTGACGTTTTTACACGTCTGACAGCTTAACAATTGTCGAAGTGAAAAGCATTCACCTTTGTATCGTTGAACGGTATGAAACGCTGGAATCCTTTCATAAGAAAGGAATGTTTGCATGTTTATTGTTTACTAACATAAGTTCCTGTAAATGAAGGTCATGCCATGTTGTATGGAATATTTCCCTAAATTTTGTAGATCATATACGTATTTCGTACATACTAGGCACAAAAAACCCCATTCAAAATCGTATTCATGTGCAATCAGAATTGTAGTTGACATAGTTTTGTTAGGAAATAATTTGAGTCATTAAATACTGCATTAGGGATTAAACTTCGACATCCAAAGCAATATTCGGACTAACCAAGATTTATTTGAATATCTAAGAGCTCGGTTTCGTAATATCTGAGTACCTTTTCAATGACCAGCTCCTTTACCATTCAAAAGGAATTCTACCTCTATACAAACCTTTGAAGATCAAAGTCATGCTAAATTCTATTTCCTAGATACGTTTTAGATGTCACTGATCCTTTATTTTGTCGTTACAAAGATGTTATTAATAGGATCATTAGGAACATTTCCATTCATTTAATTCTGCGTCATTTGTTGATAAAATGATGTTATATTTTTGTACTCTCTCCTTTATCACAACTTTCTTTTCATCTTGATTTTAAAAGTAAAATGTAGCTTTTCCCGGCCGCACCCATATTTTTATATTCATCAGCTAACATGCGGTATGTTGTACGCTTTCTTATGAAATCGCATCATGCTCGCCTGAGGGCTCTTGTTTATCCAGTGTATACAAGTTAATAATATAATTTTAGCCTAAATCATTATTAAAGAAAATGTAAGTATCTACTATTACTGAATATCAAAAAAAATATTTTTGTAACGTTTTTACACTTTCAATACTATTTTCACCGTCAATACACTTCTAAGTGAATTATATCTGTGAGCACCCAGAACGTTCGAACACAAACGTGTCGAAAGACAATACAAAACCACAAATATAGTACTATTGAATGAAATGAAACTTAAGTAAACATTCTGATTTCTCGTAATACTTACTTTGAAATCTGTCATCGTAAAATATTCAGATGTTTTTATTATTGGATCGCTTGAGTGAAAGCATCTGACAGTAATTGTGTAGGAGTTGTGGGGAGGGTAGGTGGCGCCACTGTAGATTGAAGGGGGTTCCAAGTGCTTTGGCAGTAGAGTGAGTGCTGGAGCCCACAGAGTGCATGTCGGCGTCAACCCGACACCTTGACAACTAGCTGCCAGCTTCAACAACTGCTACAACATCCAATAATGACATTCTCAACATTCTGATCGGTCGTCGCTTCCTAATCTCTTTGTTTCGGTTCGTTCCATTGATTTGATTTGTGAAAGTCTTGTAAATATCCAAATACCTAGATAAAGTTTTCATGAATACGAAGTATATTCTTAGTCTATTTACGTGAGGTTATCGTCAAGGTTCTCTGCACTTACATTCGGAAGTACCCAGCCGGCTCTGATTTGAATTTTACTTTAAAAAGATAAACATTACCTTGGAGTTCTCAGTTATTTAATGAGGAACTTTATGTACGATCGTATATTTTTATTATAGAAAATAACTACAAACATTTAGTTTTAGTCGTGTATTCAATGTTAATAGACTGTATTAAAATTGATGCCTTCAAATTACACCACCTGGGAACGTCGAACTTCATTCGTGGTGAACCGACGTCGCCGCATCGATTTCAATAAAATGATTAGGCAAGTTTTGAGACGAGCTAATAAACATTATTTTTATAACCATTATACATTAGATGAGGTTTTTATGTTAAAATATTGATATAATGAAATAAGAAGCGCATTTTAAAAGATTGTTATTTTTGATTTTCGAAATATTTTTTTTTGTAATATTTGTGGCATAGTATCTACCTATGTCTGTGAGATTTAATGATGCACCTTTAGGTACAACACTACAGAAAACTTACCTTAAAAATATTTTCAGCATAGATACATTTCTATAAAGTTCGATATCTGAATAACAAGTATTCGGATGACTTATTCGAGCTCAATAACTTTATCGAACGTAACTATTAAACTCCAATAAGTTTAAAAGTCGTTAGGATTCATGATAGTTACCGTTATTTCAAGAATCCGGAGAGACGGATTTAATCTCGAGAAATAGAAGGATATCAGAAAAGGATTGTCGAGAGATCTTTTATAAAGCAGCGGGATTATTCATGGTACAAACAAACGAAATTTTCTTTGTCGTAGCCACAACTTTCTTAATAGTTTGTTTGATTTTAAAGTAAGGAACAAGTTTCGATTAGAAAGTATGAGTTTTAAAATGTTGCACCGGAGCGATGACATGTAAAGTTAATCAAATAAAACTAATTATATCGAATCGAGTCGGTTTGAGTAACGATTGTTCGTGTAATTATTGTAACAATTCATGCGTGTCCTCTGAAACTAGACAGTGATCAAGTATAATGTCTAAGAACAGGCCTGGCTGACACGGATTGTAGCAACTGCATTTTAACCTCGCATACATTATATTTCATTGTTCCCATTACTAAATGATAGGGTCTAATTACTGTAATAATCTGTGTGCCAGACTGTTCGTGTTTACACGCGATGCCTTCATCGTGTTATTGGTACCTTAGTACCCTAAGTTGTAGGTATCGTAGATATCTGCGTAGCACGTTTCAAATATAATTATATAAAACGTTTTGATTTGAATGAGTACAAAAAGTTCTTCTAATACGTGACCTTCCAAGATTAATTCACTGACGTGAATCTATGATCACTGTTCTATCAGACAAATGTTTGCCAATTTTTGAATAAGAATCTCATCGTTTCAAAATATCGAATTTTATTTAAATGCATTTTATTATAAACTATTGTCTGAATATTTAAGGATTGCAAACATTATAATTTGGAAAATTGCTAAATATTCTGAGGGGGATTTGGAAGTTCACTAATGTTTTTAAGCGTTTGATAAGCACAGAAATAAGCCATTGTCTTTGATTCATGTTTCAGTTAAACGAAAAGTAATTTTAAATATTATCATGTATTATCTAATACTTCCTATTACATATTGTTTACAACACTATCGATGTGCAGTTCACATTAAATCTATAACTATGTCAATCGTTGCCTCTAACCGTTCAGGTAACGGCATAACTTGAGCGTTCGATCACAGCCACTTCATATAAATAACATTAAACTTAAGTACAGTCTGATCTGATGTGCGCACGTCCATGCGCAGGGGATGCGCGCGCGGTCGGCGCAGCCTTGACATTTGGTGGAGGCGAGCACCCGGCCCGGCGGCGGCCACTAGCCCCAGCGCCGGAAACGGTTATAGTTTGGCACAGGGAGGTACGGGTACCGTGCCGGCACCCTCACGTTCTCCAGGTTGTATCCTCGTCGCTGCCGAACGAGTGCATCACTAACTTGGCTTTCCACGTTGCGTTTCGCTGGTCTCACTATACTTAACACATTAGATTGTAATAACACATTGTCTTCGGCTACGTCTTCAATAGGTCTCGGCTTGGTGATGAGTTTCGCCCTGTTCTTCTGCGACGCGAGGTAGTCCTCTGTGAGCACGTAGGACTCCAGTCGCTTAGGACCTGGGTATCTGCTAGAGATTATTTCCCTCTCGTAGCCGAGGCGGGCGGGTTCGGGGGCAGCGAGCGCGGGCGCCGCGAGCGCGATGACAAGCGCGAGGTACGCGTGCATGATGCGGTGTGTGTCGAGTGTATGAGCCGCGCTCGAACTACACATTTTTATATATACCTACCAGTGATCGATACCATTCGTGCCCAATTTGTGTAGGTTCTTATTTATTTTTTGTGATCGTGATGCGCGAGATGCTCTTGAACTTGGTAGTGTAGCGGAGGTGCAGGCGGCTGCGGACGGCGCTCTGCCGAGCCCGTGGTCCCCACAGGAGACGATCGCGTCGGTTGCTCGCCTCAACCGCGGTGCAATTATTCGTATAATTTGATGCACTGGTGACTACGAACGCTCATGAACCTTGTTCCACTTACATTAACCAACATTAAGTGATGTTGTTCTCACCGGCACAAGGCGACCGTTACATACTTGAAGTGGACTTATGATGATGATTGTTATCATGCGATTCAATATCAATCGTGATTGTATTTTATTCAGTTAAAATCAGTTCTTGATTAGTCTTTGGTGGTACCGAGTTAAAAGAAAAGGAGGTTAATTATAAATTTGTTCTTGAATAAAATAGAGATTTAGTATTTTATTTTGTAGCTTATTTGAATGTAGAACCTAAATATATATGTTTAATTTTTGTCCAGTGGTGATTATAACCTCAAATTGTACATTTACAGACATAGAGCACGATTTGTTCAAGGATAATGTACCGGTAACCGCTAGTAAACATTTAACGCTAGTACACACAGGTACTTTGTCTTGCGCTTGTCTACTTCTCTCGTATATTACGTAGTTATTACGTGCCGGTAGCTTATGAATGATTTTGTTGCCTTTTAAATAATGTCCTTGCCTGATAACCTGTTATTGTATAGCTGTCAATCTACAGTAATGAGGAAGTTGCATAATGAAGATTGAACATCCCATTGTACGAGGACTACGCGATTTAAAACAAAAAAGATGTATTATAAAATGTCGCTCACACATTGCTACAAACCAGTTGCTGCTCGATCGCTCTTTACTCTACGATAATGCGCATTGACTGCAATGTTGTTGAACACTAGATTAAAAAAGCACATACCTTCCTTACAGTTTATACAATGCAACCTCAGGATCAATGTTTAGTGAATAGCTCCACTTCCCACTTGAATATTATTATATTTAGAAAACTTTACACGTCGAGACTACATACATAATATGTCACATTAAATTATGCATTTAATCGATTTCGAAATTTTATTCGAATGTCCTTCCTATAGACGAAATATTTATGAACTTCTGGTTTCTTCATCCTTATTCGGTAGTATTTACTAATAAACAATTAATTACAGCAATAATTCAAATAGAAAGCATCCGGAACTGAACACGCGAGGTCGTCTCCAAAACATATGAGTGTAGAGACTAAAGTAGTAGTGTAATATATTGTGTGTACATATGTGTACAGGAAATACAGAGCAAGCTGTCGGCCTTCCGAGATATGTCTTGGTCCGGTGGTTACATAACACTCAGTTAGCCAAATGAATAAAGATAAAACGTGATAATGTAAACATACTTACGGTAAACAGAATACATTTTCCACGGCTTGCGGGAAAACTTGAATATGCACTATCTCACTCGAACTGTGCGGACGAAAGTGGTCAGTCTACCTCGTGTCTTCATCACCACTTTATTCAAATATATGCGCTCTAAATCATTATGCTAATTGATTGGTAACTTGTATATGTATAAAAGCTCACTGTCTACAAATTACATACTTTCGATATTCATATCACGATTCATCACGAAAATAAAAAGTGAAGAGTTCACTTTTTATTTTCGTCTCAACAACGTCGATACAACTATTTCCGTTAAACATAGAAACTGGATGGATTAAATGTCAACAATTTAAATGATACACTTCCGATTAATGTCCAGAACAAACAAACCGTATCTCAGGTATAAACAAATAATAAATATTGACTGCGCAAGTACAACGAGTGGAGTTGATTATCATATTTTTAGTATTAATATAATGTTCTATTTATATAAAATGGTAATGTGTGAGTGAACAGGTTTCGGTGGTTAGGACGGAAATCGTTTAATTATAAACGGAAGTATAGTTAACGTGCAGATAGGCGGTCGTGTATGTGGATCGAAAGGAGTGGAAGTAGCCAAGGCAAGGAGCCGCGGACGGAGCCACCTCGATGCCTTATCTACGGATTGCGATATCAGTTGCCTTAAAAATATCTTGATTTAACGACTTCGCATTGCCCAATTCTATGATGCTTTGATTTAATTATCTTAGATGACATTTACCTACTGTTTCTATAATGTATACATAATAGGTAGACTTCGAATTACTTTCAATATTTCTCGTAGCTTCCTTTAGGAGTCTATTTTTTATTTAGCAGTTTTTGTCGATCCACTATTTTATTATTACCTAATATTTAGATCTATCATGATACCTATTTTTTCCTCGCAGTAGTGAGACAGACCGCGTCTTTCTAGCAGTAACTGCGCAATACTTCGACACAAGAGAATCATTAAATGTTATCTACTGTAAAAAAATAAAACCACAACTCCATATGTGTTATGGACCTTATACAGACGAAGATGTTAGCTAGAGCCAGTTTTAAATTAATCCGTCAGCGACATTAATGACGTTAATTAATTCAATCACGTTTGATAAACGAAGTGGTCGGTCCCGGTTTTCTGTGATCAATTACATATCTGACAATGGTTACAATCGTAGTCCATCTCGTCTCAGCACAAAGAGTTAGGAGCCAGCCAGTGAGCCAACCAGCCACAAGGATGAATGGACAAAACTGTGCTCGTCGCTGCTTCCGTGTTTTTGTCTCGTTCCGCATCAAGCGGCATCATCATTAGAATATTAATATTCGTTATCCTAATTCAATGTTCGTTGAGCTTCTTTGTCCACAATAGTTGTGTTTTTGCTACGCTAGATCCTTTGTTGATCTAACATTTAGCTTGTAATTTTGAATAGATGGAGAGGTACCGGATCATAGTTCATGTTTCATTTTAGCATATATTTAATATCAGAATATTTGAACTCACATAGGCCAAGGTCTACAATATTTTATTTTGACAATGTCTTGTTTTGAAAGCCGATTTTTGAGAGTTGGATGTAAAATATTTTTGACACATAAATGTTTGCGGGGCGTGCTGCTAAGAGTTCGTCGGCTTTGTTTCGCGCGGCGACGGTCTGGGCTCGGTCAGCTCGGAGTGCGGGCCGCGTCGCGCGCGTCCTCGGGTGTCAGCGGTCATTGCTTCCTGATCGCCCGTGTTTATCTCTCCGAGATGTGACGCTCCCGCTGCGTTTGCGCAATGAACATGCATTATTCATAACCGGCACGATCGTGCCTCCATTTTCCTTTGTTCCCCGATAATTTGATATTACAATGCTAATGCACTTATCAGAGATAACTTGGTACGGTTTTATTAGGTGACTCTATTATGAGAGGACATTCGTCGAGGTTATATTTAGAGGTCTCATAAAATATGCAGCAGCCACCAACGTCATCGAGTTCAATGGGATAATCATTTTAAAATAAGTGTATATTAAGTGAGACAAGTTCGTTTTACGAGATACTGTTTTATTTTTGTTTAGATGCCTTGGGACTCTTCTGAGGAGCAAATGGGTGGACCCCGTGAAATGCGCATCCATGTACAGCGCGTGATCGCCATCCCCGCGCCACACAACATGCCGCCACCACCAGAGACCATGGGACCCTTCGCACCTCCCCCACCCCCGCCGCCCCAGGGCCATGACCAGAATGAAGTAAGTCACTACATTCGTTTCTGGAGAAATCGTGCTTTGAGATGGTTTCTTATTCAGCACCAGTATTCAATGTGTGATTAAACAGAAAACGGTCTACTCGCTCAATCCACTCATCGCTTAGCTTGCAGAAAAACATTGCGTTGTAGTTGAAATTTAAAAACACGTTACTTACCTTTCATTTCGCATCAGAATTGTATTAAAAAAACAATTAACTGAATGTCCAGTGAACAGTATGTACCGTAAACTGTGACTACAAAATAAACATTAGCAGGCTATGTTTGCGCTCGACGAAACACCGGCTAGCTACAGTTAAACAAATTTTGTATTCGGTACAAATGGCAACACAAACAAAGAATGAAGTTGCAAATCAAAACAGTTAATTAAAAAAGAATAAAAAATCCTACAGCAATCATAATTGTGAACGCTAAATAAATATTAACTTTTCATTTCTAAATATGCGACATTTATTGCGGTACCTATATACTTAGGAAGGCTTCATATTTAATGACGAGAACAGTAGCTGTTCACATTTTCACAGTTACAGTTACATTGATAATGATTTCGTAATTTAATATTTTTATCTGTAATAAACAGGGCAATTAAGGATTTTATCTGTCTCAGCACGTACAACTTATTTTAAATTAAATTTTAATGCTTAAGTTAGTTCATGGCTTGGATTATTACATTATTTAATTCTAGATCGTATCTTAGGCCAAATAAATAAGTAATAGTTTTTTTATCGTACTATCAAGCTCGCTATGCTAATTTAATAAGTAATTCGGTGTCGAAAACCTTCTTGGAGCTTACAAAAAATGAGTCCGTTAGTGAGCAATTCACAAGTTCATAATGAGTATTGAGATGATGTTACACGGAAGCTTAAATGTATCATTATGTATGTACCGACGTGCCTCGATAATGGCACTTGCCAACAACATGGAATCATTCGAATAAACTCAAGAATCACGATAAGAATTGTAATTATGTAACAATACATATATCAGTTGTGTTATGGCGAACTACACACATCTTAACTTCACATAAATACGAGTTGGCACTTGTACGTATTTTATATCAATAAATATTTATGATTTCAAATAGTTGTTAGTGATTTAAAAAGAACTAATTAGACTATTAACTATAATTAGTTAAACCTATTAATTTAGTTTATTAAATTAGTCAAAAAAATTCTTTAAACCCAGTTATTAACTATAAGTACTTATTATGAAGTTGTCGACAACAAATATTTTTGTAACTGCTAAAAATTACCTATCGATATGTCTCGTTAAAACAATATTATTCAGATAATATACCCACCCACAGGATTAAAAAACAAGGATTTCTGATATGAATATTAAAACCGTAGAAGAGTGAAATAAAACCTTACATTGAAAATTATACATTGAAATAGGTTAGAGTTGAGGTTAAAGAACTTTGTT